GCCAGGGCTTGAACTCAATGGTAATTTTCCATAGAGGAGTACCCCCAGGAAGGCTGAGAAAAAGGTGTTAAAACCAGAAAAATCCAAGCGATCGAATTCATGTACCAGCAAGGATCGGGTCGGGTCAGAAAGGAGGAACTGGAACTCATTCATTAGTTTTATGGTCCTTTTCCTGGACGATCCGGTATCACTTCCTTCGATTTATGCTGATTGCGAGGAATTTTTGGCACCGATTTATAGAGGCGCCCGAGAGGGACAATCTAAAGAATGTACATGTCGCCTATGAGCATTTTCCAAGAGTGATAGACTTCCTGTGGTCGTTCCTCTACCCGTCAAAAGTGAAAGGGGCGAAGTGGGAGCCGTGGGCAGCGGTTTTGTTGGCCAACAAAAACGTCCGTTTGCCTTTTTGGCAATAAAACGGCCTCTTCCACCAAACGTTAAGTGTTTATTGAAATGAAAGTGGCGGATTGCTGGGATGAATCATAGTGATGACGTGGACGGTGATGAATCCTCCTAAGGGCCTCCACACTACCACAATATTCTTCCTATACTGAATAGTTTTTCAATGAAACATGTTTTTGTTAAGTCGCATTTTGTCCCATGAGGCCTAGCACGGGCCCATTGCCTCCCCTATTCCGACGCTGTTCAGTGATCATGTAATTTTCCTTTCCCCCTGATGACCCCCCGATGAAATGTACCCCATTGCGTATCGCGCGTCGTCGGTCTGATGCCAGCGACGAACCACACCCACGATTCGCTCCGCCCCCGTTCTTCCCCTTCCCCGCGCGAATTCCCCACACGCTTCCATCGCTCTGACCTGCCATTTACTGTTCCTACTGCACCACCTGTAACAGTTCCCGTCCAAGGAGCAATTTATGCCGGATCTGTGGTGTTTCAGTAGCGGTCGACTATCTCCGTCCACACTTCCGAAAACCTCCAACTCTCAGCCACAACTCTCATCCGATGATGACGATCGTCGTACCATCCGCAGTGACATCAGTCCACATCGGACCCTCGTCATCCCCAGCTCAGTTCCTGGAGGTAAATCGATTGAAATCCCTCTGGGATCCGTCAGCCTGAGCTCATCACGACAAGACCTCACCTTCCCTCGAAATGATCGTGGTCGTAGCCCAAAACCGGAGTCTCAAATGGAAAAGCTCACACAACGGCTGAAGAACCTCGGTAAGTCGCTCTCATGTTGCTTGGTTTGCTTTTCTCTTGTTATCCAATGCTTTTATTTTTATGAGTCGTTCTCAGTTTGGTTTCTGTTTGCTCATTGAATGGCCCCATAACCTTCGCCTTTTCGGAGCTTTTTTCCGTCTTTTCTTTGCTCAACTCAACTGGTTTTATAGCCATTTCCTATTGAATCTCTTTGAACAGGTCAGCATGTTTGTTGTTAGATAGGTCTGCAGTAATGGGCCTATCAATGGGCCTAAAACCTCACCTTTATCAGCATCGATAGAGAGCACAATCGTTTTGTCGTTGCCTTGTTTGCTGTCGCTGTCACATTGGAACTCTGGGAACTATGACTAGTATCGATTGTTGTTATCAATGCCTCCTCATCGGCAGTCGATCAATTCGTGACCATAACATCGGAGTTTGTCACGGGGGGATGATGGGGGTGGGGATATTCCGTTCGTTGCAGTTTAAGTGAAGTAATCGAGCGTAGTGGGGTCTGTAAACCACATGAATGTGAATGTAATGTACCGATTAGGAATGATCTAGGAAACCCCCTTTGGGAACTGGGAACTGGTTTTCTACGCGCGTGAACATAGTCATAGTGATGTGGACGGATTAACGCCTGACTTGCGGGGTGGTATGTGCACTACCAAAACATCTCGTCCGATCACATCGATTCGACGGGTTCAGACTCTGTCTGACACTGCTGATACGAACGCCTGTTGACGCAGGCCATTGCGCTTCTGGGTTATTTCGTTCCCCGTTCTTCAGAGAGATCCGTTCCCCAGAATGGTATCTCACTATCGTCTGGACTTCCTAGGCTACCCATCCTTTCCAATCGTTCCGGGTTAGAAATCCAGCCATAACCCTTGTCTCATGGTGCCCTCGAAAAACTTTTTGCCCTCGGAATTCAAAATCCTCCCTAAGTGGAAATCCATTTGTAGACCTTCCTTTTTGGGTGAGGAGGCTGTATAGCCGTCCCTTTTTTGCGAATGGGATCTTGTTTCGGGTTCGAGACTGTCCCGGACTAGACCGAGTAATCCACTCGTGAGAAATTTCCTGATTTCTCTGGTTCTCAACAGAGATTCGTAGACGAATTGCGAACTCGACCCAGTCGTTAAACAGCAATTTCCATCTGATCACATGTTGACTAACCAGTTCAGTTCGATGACGAGAAAACAGGACAATATCAATAACAAAGTTTCTCCATCCATCAGCGTCAATGGTTTTTTTCAAGCGTAATGCCACCACTAATCTTCCAATCACACCGACTCGTTTCAACACATTCGACATACACACGGGGAACTTCCTGAATCAGCTCTTTGCATAGCACTTCGGCCGAAAGAAGGTGTTCCGTTAGTGGTTCCTGTGAGGGCCACACAGAGCCGGTTGTTTGAGGTGAGAATAGCTGCAGGAAGAGCCACCTAGATTGCTCCTGTGATTGAAGACATGAGGTTTCCGGATGATTCGCGACTAGATTATCTTCAGTCCAACAGCTCCAGAATTCACTTTTGTAGAGGTCGAGGCCTTCCTCCTGCTCGGTTGCCCGAGTTGATTTCAGTGGAGAACGGATTCGAAAGGAAGCCTTCGTAGGGTATGGATATAGAACGCCTCCCCTCTGGTATGCCACCTCCGTTGGCATACTGTTCCAAGAAAGTAATTGTTTCCTTTTGGTGGTTTTCCCTTGTAAGTTTTCATCTGTAGAGAGTGCCGAGAGAGAGAGCTTGTCCTAAATCGCTCAGAGGGTTGCAAGACGATTTCTAGAGCAGTTTAATTTGGGGTGAGGCCAGGGATTTGTTACCCCAAGTCCTTGAACTGCAAGAAGTGGTCAAGAAGTAGATAGTCCCGAGCTTCAGTAGACGAACACAACTTTTTCGCATCTAAATCCAGAATGCTCTCATTCTTGCGTAAATCTTAGTTGATCCTAAGTTCCCGAAGTGGAGGAAACATCCTGGTCCTTCTTGCAGAAGTCCAAGAACCCTTTCCGCTTCTGGGCAAGGTTTTGCATGGCTAACGGCTCATGATCATTGCCGCCCTCCCTGCCATCAGTGAGGAACCAGTTGAGGAAGCGCCTCCAAAGCTATCATTAACGTCTGGGTTTTCTGTCGCCTACATGTCATCATTTTCTTTACTATTCATCCATTCATTGTCATCACTACCCTGTTCGTTTGGTATTCGATCCGGGCGATAAACGGGCAGATCCATTTGTTCCCACCGAACAATCAGGGCTTTTTTTCAGTCCCATTGTTAAAGGAAGCAACAATTAAATGAAAAATCATTCAGGCGTTTTGCGGTCATATCCGTTTGCTTTTTAGTCTGTCCAAATCGCGTCCTTGTTTGGAAAGCTTGAACTCTTTGCGTGAAGATTGAAATCCATTTGAAATCCATTTTGTTCAGCAAAACCGTTCCGAAGCCCGAGTCGGCAAAGTAATGAACGAGACAAGACCCGGTGTGCGAGCCCAGCGGACAGCAGCGGAATTTCAGCCGATATCACTGATTCGAATTCTGGAGAAGATACCAAGGTGAGTAGGACCCTGAACCATACGGCAGTATCGATTAAACTTCAATCATTAGACTTTGTTTGGTTTTCTTTGGTTTACTCAGTGTAAACAAACAGCAACAAACAGGGTGAAGATTCAATTCCTCCTGGGAAGGGGCTCAGTAGGGAACCTCTTCGAAATCACATCCATCATACTTTATCTCAGTTCACTTCCATCTCTGGCCCTGACCATTTGGATCGCCCTCTGAACCCGATTAAAGGTCTCTGGCCCAGGTTCAGAGCTTTCTGAAAATTGTTCTGCTGAAGCGGTTAGTAACGAAAATCTTCATTTCCATCTGAAAATTGATCCAAAACCAATTATTTCCAGCAGTTTCTCTCAGTCAAACTCTTTAATATGCGCCATGTACTCGGCATCCGATCAAAATGTCGCTTTTTGTGATTTTGAATCCATGTTTTTTCTATTTCCATGTCTCTCACTTCTTCATTGCTTAGCTTTTTCATTTGGCCAATGGAACGGGCAGCAGGAACTTACGTCATTTCGAATTATTAAGTCGTTGAGTGATGTCCAAGGTCGATTTAGTCGGAGAAAAGCTTGAAACCGTTTTTTTTTTCATGTCGCCGATATGTTGTGTTCCTCTATGTTTACATTCTGTACCTAGTTCCATTATTTACTTATTTGTTT